CGAACTGGGGAGGAGGGTGGAGAAAACAGTGCAACAATGAATGAATGAAAACCCAAAATCTCTGTAAATGTTCATTAAAACTAATAAAATTTAATAAAAAAACCAGCAACAAATAGTTTCAAAAAGAAAGACAAAATATTAACTGAAAAATACAAACTGAAAGTTTAATCTAAAGTCACTCTCAAAATATCTGTAGACTAGGCATGTTCAGAAGTCAGTTGCACCATAAAATAATAATAAAAAGTGAAGTAAAAACTAAATAACTTCTTATACAATTTTTTTAAACAACACAAAAATTTTTTTAATCATGCAATACATTTTAACAAGCTATCCTAGTTTCAAAGAAAATATTTGGTTCAAAACAAAGCAAACAAGCACCAAATGAGGATAGCTTAATGAAAAATACCCCAAACATTTAAGCTACACTCACTCATATAGAGGCAAAATTCTAATTAAATTCATATGAAATTTCACCTAGCAGTAATGAAATTAAAAAAATAGATAAAGTACATAAATACAAAATGATATGAAATTATCATTTCTACATTAGTGCATTTACATACTCATTTACATTAATGCAAATTTGTAAAAAGTACATTTCATTTGATCACATTTGAAGGTATAGAAAATTTTGAACAGTCATGTCAGTTCATAGCATAATGCTTAACAAATATTGGAAATTATTTTACACTCTATACAATCATAAAAACGGTAAATGAAAGTTAAATAATGATTTTCCTTTAAATCAGAAACAATGCCACCACCTTCATTATTAAAATGTGGACTGTCATGTGAAATCAGAGTAACGGGGAATATAAAAATAGACAATAAGGGTCAATAAAGAATAGAAAGGTTTTATGATAAAATAATCACTACATGTGCGAAGTTATAGCTTGCTGTGAGATGTAATGGTGAGTAGTTTTGCTACTAACACAAAGGCAAGCAGTTCTAACCCACCAGATTCTATCTGGAAGAAAGGTGACATTCTCCTCCCATGTGATTAACTATCTCTGTAAAAGTGCTGGAGGGTTACCGGTGAGTCAGTTCCGACTCCACAGTACATAAGAACAACAGTCAGGAAAAAAAAATATTTCCACTCAAACTCTGCCTGTGAGGAGTCAACATTTCAGTAAAGAAGGTATTAAGATTGGCTGGGGGAAAGAGGGACTCAAGTTAGCATGACCGTTCTCTGGTGATCTCCTACCTGTACGGGGTTTTATTCTTGTGGTACAATTTTACATCCAAGAAAGTAATCCCAAGACCCAATCTCTGCAAGGGGTAAGTGAGGTAAGAAAACTAACCAAGAGTTGGCTGAGCTGTGGAGTTTCACGAGAAGACTTCACTTAAATAGCTAGGAGTCAAGATGAGGTCTTTTGCAAGAACATGAAAGAGATCAACACCCCAGAATAACTGGGGGATGAGGGCATTGCGTAAAGGAGGAATCTAAGTGTTCAGGTTGACAGCATGATGGCTGTGAGACAAGTGTCCCGTCACTTGTTTTTCATGGTTCTCAGACATCTAACATTTAGTGTGAGGGGTGCAAACTCAGTTCAGTCAAAGAAGGAATTGGATATGGAGGTGAGAACACTGAGAATGTAGTAATGGTGGCTGCCACCACTGACTTAGGGGTGTGCACAGTGCCCGCCGCCTCCTTGAGTTCTGGGAGACCCCAGGAGGTTGAGCGTATGTGCTAAGTCTTGGTTTCTTTTTCCAGCTCTGGAGGCTCAGTGGAGACGTGGACTGCGCGTGCTGACACAGGTCCGCTGAGAGAGGAGAAACCTTCCAGGTTTCAAGGTAAGACCCTAAGTGAGATTTGAGGGTATGAACAAACCCAGAAGAGAGGGGCTTGTGCACAAAGAAGAGCCCTGCTCTTGCTATCTATATTGAGAAGCTGGGGCTGGGCGCCAGCCTGAGGAATCCCTTACTAATGGTGCGGAATGCTAAGATTAAGTGGAGAACTGTAGTGTACCAGTATCTGCTTGGTATCCACCCGAAAACCATGAGTGAGGACTGAGGGACCACCCACCCAGGGAAAGGGGGCCACAAACAGTTCTTACACTAGCTTTGAGGGTCTGAGAATGGTGAGACTATTATGCAGGTTGTTATTGTTGTTATAGCCTTCTAGTTGGAACTGGCTTATAGTTGACCCTCCAAAGGATTTTCAGAGGTTGTAAATAGTCCTGAAGCACGTTGCCCACGTTTTCTCCCGCGGGAGCAGCTAGTGGAACTCAAACGTGGCTAATTCGGTTGGCAGCACAATTCCTTAAAGTGCCTAAATCAGTAGTAGAAGGAGTCCTCAGCCCTGCTGGAGTCCATGGAAGGGACATTAGTAAAGTTTTACCAGTTTCTGGTAAAGATAAATTCTATTCCAGGTCTTTCGCATAATGTTTATTTGAAAAGAAAAAGAATGTCATGTTTTCTTGTCTGATATTTCAGAAAGGAGAGAGTTTAGGCAAAACTTGGTAAATGTAGTTACTTACAGGAGGGACCAAAATACCAACCAGTGGCCATTTTAAGGAATTTCTATGAAGATAATGTCACAATCCAATCCATAAGAGAGAGCATTGCTGTAGGCTTTGACAAACTATTTCAATGTATAGATGAGATTCAACATGCCCTTCACTGCCGGCATTATTAGGCCTGAGGGGCATTTTTTCAGCTTGCCAGAAGTGCTGCTGTTTATTATAGCGCAGAAGTTTGTTAGGTGATGAATTGGTGTTAGCATAGAGGAACATTTCAAGAATCCACTAGGAGACAATGTAATAAACCTAAGCTGGGCTTTCATACAGAAGAGACGGAACTCAAGAGAATGCATGTCTATCTGTCTCCTGTCAGATGTGAGACTCTATCCTGGGTTGTCTGACTGTAGCCTGTGGAGTATTCATACTTCTTTTAGGTTCTTAGAGGGCATAACACTTAGAAGAGTAGATGACATTTGAGGCCGTAGGGCCTCATAAGTAGCCTTGATCAGAAATATCACAGCTCATTTTGCCAAATTACGTCACTCACGGTACCCTTCTTTCCTCAGACCCTGGTCCCTGCTGCTGTCGACAAAGGTCATCATGTCTCAAAAACAGGAGAAGCCATGCTGTACATGTGAACAGTGCTCTCACAGGCTTGGTGAAGCTCCGGACCTGGACAATACACAGGGCAATCAATCTCTGGAGGAAATCGTTCCCTCTCCCTCCACGCTTCCAATGGCTAATAACCTAGAGGAGGTTCATGATGCTGAGACACTCAGTAATTCCCAGGGTCCTCCAATAGCTGATAACTTGGGAGAGGTTTGTGATGCTGAGACACCCAGTAATTCCAAGGGTCCTTCAATAGTTGATAACCTAGGAGAGATTTGTGATGCTGAAACACCCAGTAATTCCCAGGGTCCTCCAATAGCTGATAACTTGGGAGAGGTTTGTGATGCTGAAACACCCAGTAATTCCCAGGGTCCTCCAATAGCTGATAACTTGGGAGAGGTTTGTGATGCTGAGACACCCAGTAATTCTCAGGGTCCTCAAGATGAGCATCCCTCTACCATTTCTGCTTCATCAACATCATTGAGAAGCTCCAACAGCGAAGAAGACAAAGGTAAACCAAGCACTTGTGAGATTCTGTCATGTATTGTGAATATTTGCAGAGGTCTTCTAATCAAGAAAGCAGATTTCCTGGTGGATTTCCTGCTGATTAAATATAGAAACAAAGAACTGATTACAAAGGAAGAGATGCTGAATGTTGTTATGGAAGAGTACACAGACTTCTTTCCTGAGATCTTCATGAGAGCTACTGAACGCCTAGAAATTATCTTTGGTCTGGATCTGAAGGAAGTGGATCCCGGCAGCAACACTTATGCCCTTCACATCAAATTAGGCCTCACCTACGACGGGCTGCTGAGTGAAGTAGAGGGTATGCCGAAGACTGGCCTCCTCATGCTTATCTTGAGTCTAATCTTCATGAAGGGCAACAGGGCCACTGAAGAGGAAGTCTGGGAAGTTCTCAATATGACAAGGATATATTCTGGGCAGAAGCACTTCATCTTTGGGGATCCCAAGAAGCTCATCACCAAAGACTTGGTGCAAGAAAAATACCTTGAGTACCAGCAGGTGCCCAACAGTGATCCCCCACAGTATGAATTCTTGTGGGGTCCACGAGCCCACGCTGAAACAACCAAGATGAAAGTCCTGGAGTTTGTGGCCAAGGCCCAGAAAACTGACCCAAGGTCTTTCCCATCCCAGTATGAAGAGGCTTTGAAAGATGAAGAAGAAAGAGCTCAAGCCAGAGCTGCAGCCATCCCTGGAGATACCCCCATGGGCAGGGCGAGTTCCATAAAGCTGTCCAGAAGTTCCTCTTACCCCTAGTGATATCAGGGATAGCTCTTCCACGTGATGTTAGAAAGCAATTAGTCTTTTAAATATATAGGCAACCAATCATATAGTATGTGTCGCACCCTTTTCCTTATGAATCAGGGTAAAGTCTCTCTCAAGGAGGAGTGATAGGGAATGGCAAAGGACACACTGACAAAGGAGATTAATCAGAACTGGATTTGACAAGCACTGTGGCAATTGGACAATTAAAACAGACTTTCAAGGGGGAGGAAGAGGAACGAACTGGGGAGGGGAGGGTAGAGAAAATAGTGCAACAATGAATGAATGGAAACCCAAAATCTCCGTAAATGTTCATTAAAATTAATAAAATTTCATTTTACAAAATGTTGTTCTCCAAAACTAGCTAATGCTGACTTGCATTTCCTCTGCTTATTCAATTCTATAAAATAAAGAACACTTAATAAATGATAGTATATGCTCAGTGTCTCATTTATTCACAAACCCTTTAATAGATTATTTAATCACTGGAAGGTACTGGTTTAGTACTTTTAATGCTACAGTAAACAGGAGTCATCATTTGCTTGTAGGATTTTAACACTGAAGAACAGTAATCTTACAAAGATTATGGTGGAATATCTCCTTATATTTGAAGCACAAGTCAAAGAAGAAGCAAGTATGGAAGTGGGGAGGGTGGTGTGCCCATATGAGAGTGTGAAGTGTAAATACCTTGAGGCAGGAAATTTAGGGTTTCAGATACTTTTTACTTCAATAAGAGGTAGTTTTGGGTTTTGTGTGTCTTTAATCTACCTTATCTTTAAATTTTTTATATTTATAGCTTTGTTTTTTAATGTTTTTAGAGACTGTAATTCTCATGTGAAGAGATGCCCAGAGAACTGCTGGTAGATTTGCACTGTAGGCTCTTGAGTTAGCAGTGCAGTTCCTTTCCACTTGACCATGACTGTTCTCAAATGAATTATCATTGATAGTTGTTGTTGTCGTTATGTACAGTTGAGTAGAAAATGATTTCTAGCTAATCCTCCAGCGGGCTTTCAGAGGCAGGTACACAAGCACTGGATGATACAGCCCATCTCTCTCTGACAGGGCAACTGGAAGATTAGAACCTTTGATTTGGCAGTGCAATTACTTTCTTTTTGTAAATTTTATTTCATACTGGTTTACATACAAAGTTCATAAACATTATTTTTCACACTGGATCTTTCCCCTTTCCTTTACTCACCCCTCCTCCCACCCTATCAAATAGTGTGACCCTATGATTAAGCCCCCCTCTCTGCTCCTTGTATCCTCATACTCATTCTGCAATAATGGTCTTATACAGTATTTGTCTTTATGAGACTGAGTTAGTTCACTCAGCATAATGTTCTCCAATCCCTCTCAAGTAAGATAATGATTTACAAAATCATTGCTCCTGAGTGCTGCACAGTATTCCATTGTGTACCATAATTTCTCATTGTGGTTGGGCATTTGGACTGTTTCCATGTTCTCAGAGATGGTGAACAATACTGCTAGGAGCATTAATGTACAAGTCTCTGTGCCTCAGGTCTCATTTTCTCAGGGTATATTCCTAGCAGTGAAATAGCTGTGTCATCATGGAATTTCTGTGTTCTGCTTTTTGAGGAAACACCAAACTTCCTTCTAGAGTGCTTGTATCAATTTACAATCACACCAACAAAGTGCAAGTGCTCCTATCTTGCCACATCCTCTGCAAAATTTATTACCTGCTGCCCTGCTAAACTTTGCCACTGCTACTGGGGTAAGAGGTAACACATTGTGGCTTTGATTTGCATCTCTCTTAATTACAGTGACTAGGCTATCAACATTAGGCCATCAGTTCCTTAAGAATTGATTAAACATTTAAATCCTAAGGTGGCCTAGTAAGTAATAAGGAGCTGTGCTGCAATCCAAAATCATATAGTTCAAATCCACTACTATTCCTTGGGAAATACACTGCCTCTGAAAATGTGTTGTAGGGTCAGCTATAACTGAATTCCAACTCCACAGCACACAACAACAACAATCCTTTAAAATAGCCCAACTTATCAGTTTATTTTTCCCCTCTTTCTCCCTTCCCGAATCTTCCAAAATTCATTATAACTGTGTGTAACTTCTCTTAGCTTTTTATAACAGTGGCATTATACCATAATTTGGGGTTTTTTATGTTAAATTTTATGAAATGTTTAAAGAATATGAAATGTTTGAAGAATTTTTCAGAAAAGATAAAAGGAAGAAATATTTCTAACTTCCTTTATAAGGTCATCACTCTGCTGATAAAGGATATAGAACAGAATTTACAGGAAAAATAAAATATCCTCCATGAGGCTAAGTAAAATCTTTGCAAATCAAATATAACATAGAAAAAAGAATGTTCTATAATAATTGATAGATTTTTTAAATGTTATAATATTTTCCACCCTTGGAATAAATTCCATGTAGATGGTTTAGCATATGAAACTCAATGCTCTATATGCATTGATGTCACTAGGTGCTGTTCGCTCAGTGGTTCCATGCATTACTTGCAAGCTCTGCTGAAATCTGTCCAGTATCACAGAAACATACAAATCTTCAATAGTATGCAAAATGTCTGTGCATATGGTTCTTTGAATAAAAGTAAATGGTTGATTTCTAAGAATGAAGAAGACCCAAAACATTCCCTGATGAAGTTCAAGTGTCTTCGTTATGAACCACACTACATAAACCAAACATCCTTATACACTGACCATAAAAGAATTCCAAGTAAAAAGAAGAAGAAAAGTTTCAAAGTATCAGGGAACCCATTTCATGTGGTTCCCACACCAAATGTCCAAGGAAGTAACATTACAAAACCAAACAACTAACTTGAATGAGAAGATCTGATGAAAAAAGCATGTGAAAGTTGAACAAGGAATGAGAAATAGCAAAGATGATCCAATGCCTCTGAATCCAAAGGTGCCAGCAAAAGAATACCAAGCACATTGTTGTTGTTGTTATGTGCCATGGAGTCACTTGCAACTCATAGCGACCCTATGTACAACAGCCCTAAACTCTGCTCTGTCCTGTGCCAGTCGCACCATCTCTGACTCTCCCATACCAATTACCCCAGTCACTGAATCAATCCACCTCAAAGAGGGCCTTCCCCGCCTGCACTGTCCCTCCACCCTCCCAAGTATGATGATTTCCTTCTCCAAGGACCCTTCTCTCCTTACAACATGTCCAAAGTATCTCAGACGGAGCCTCAGAATCCTTGCCTCCAAGGAGCTGCCCGGTTTAACCCTTTCTAGGATGAATCTACAAAATGAGGGATTTATCTTTCACTACTCCACAAATTGCTGTCTGTCAGATACTCCTCTAAGTCTAAACAGTCAGATTAAGACAGACTAGGAAGAAGGATTGGCCATCCATTTCTGAAATGGCAGGCCTCTGAAAACCCAATGTACAAGCAGAGAACTGCCAGAAGTCCAGGCTGCGTTTAGAAGGGGTCGTGGTACTAGGGATATTGTAGCTGATGTTAGTTGGATCTTAGCTGAAAGCAGAGAATACCAGAAGAATGTCTATCTGTGTTTCATTGATTATGCAAAGGCATTTGACTGCGGTGGATCAT